GAACAGACTGGAAAGAACAGAAGGCGAAGGGGAGAAACCATATTTGTAGGATACTGATGCTGTGTGAGATGTCTTGTCCTAACAGGAGCACTCCTCTGAACTCAGCCAGTGTCTTCTAGTTAGTCAAACGTCTACCACAGTACAAATGGAGACAAAGGAATGGCTTTGCATTGCAGAAATTACCTGGGTTTCAATGCTTTAGTTGTTCATACTCATGATACTGATAGAGGGTTTTGCAGTCTCTCTGGAGGAGTAATGGAGTCCATTTCCTCCATATGTCACCCCAGATGCAGATACTGAGAGACAATTAATTCATTTCACATATTAAATCCAGATCTCACTCCCAAACGACCATAGGATCTGCTTAATATGGAAAGCAAGCATGCTAGGCCTTGTTTTTCAGATTTAATTAGATGAGCTAATTTGGAAACTGTTGAGAAAATAAGGGGATAATGCCTACAATTTATTTTTATTTCATGCTCATCAGAACAATGTTCTTTTCTGGTTGTTTAAACACCCGATGTTCAACTGCATTTCAATTTTGAATATTGACAGTCAGATGAACTTCAGTTTTCTGGCAGAAAAAATAAAAAAAATAAAAAGACATAGGATTCACCTTTAGCAATTATGCTTGGGGTACATTGATTACACAACGCATGCTAATCCGGAACACAGAGAAAATGCAGTCTGTTGCCTTACCTCTGTGTTTTCCTTAAGAAGGAGGGAAAAGATGGCAATTGCTGTTGTCACCTTTTCTATTAAATAGCCTTTGGGGAATTGTATCTTCATTATCACCATAACAAGAGAAATACATCCCCCTATTTATGTTTAAAATTCTAAAATTTTGTAAATAGTATCCAAATGTCTGAATTGATTTAAACAAGTGCTTTCTCAATCAAAAGAGGGATAAAATTTCAGTTTATTGTTTGTCAGTTCTACACTTTTGTCAATTTTACATTTTTTGTCAGTTTGTTATTTTTATAGCTTGTTTCCTTAGGAACAAAAGAGATTCCTGGCAAAGTGCGAACAATGGGAAAGGTACCTTTCGTAGCTTCTCATTCTATTGTCAGAATTAATTTCAGTAAAGTATCCAAGGGGAGTGAATACAGTCACTGGGATGTTCTTTATTGTAAGTTATTGACTGTGATTTTGTGCATTCAACCATAAATAAAATTGCTATATTTTCAGCATAATTCAAACACTTGATTTATGATTGCATCAGTCTATCTTGGTCTAATGTCAAAGGTGTGCCAGTGGGGTAAATAATGGAAATTCTAGGCACGGGATAGATCGTCATCATAAAATGTTTTTTTTTTCAATTAGATTAAGACTCTGTAGTCAAGATGGCTGCCTTAATTTTATTCTGGTGGAAGCAAATGACGTTGTCTCTGAATGATTCTATTTCAGGAGTGGTTAGTCCTAATATTCCTGTATGTATCCTAGGTACTAGCAATTTCAAATGGGTACTAGTGATCTCTTTCGTATGTTTTGATACACAAATACTGTCAACCAGATAGCTGATTATTCAGACAAGCCTTTGTCTTAGTAAATGGTAGAAAATCAGTCTCAGTCTCAGGCCATTCTGATCACACCATTCATTCTTCATTAGGAGTAAACATTTCTCTCATGGCTAATCACAGGGAACAAGAAAAATCAACAACATTTTCATATGTTTTTAATATGTGTGTTCTGAAGACACATTCAAATCCAATTTAAATAATCTGAACTGGATTTCAGTTAAGGTCATTGCAAAGCTTAACAAAGGCCACTGTTCTTTTACATTACAGCACTCTCTTGCAGTGTTATAACTGTGAAATGAGAATGTACAATCGGAATACTCACTGGCCTAATAAGTGGAGATGCACTTTTTTTATAAAACAATGTGTATCAGTGTCTTATCACAGAAATTGAGATTTATCTTTACAAAAGTTCTGCTTATTTTTGTTTGCTGCTCCAAAAATATTAGGCTACCTACAGGGACACCAATGTTTCAACAGGTGCTCGTTGCTTTTCATAGGGGTTGTTGATTTCCTCTGCTGCAACATCTACAGTATATGTGTTTTGTTTTTCAAAACTAACCGGTAGTGCCTTTAACATTTTTTAAGTGATTGCAAAGCAAAGAATTGTCCAAAAAGCCTGAGTCCATTTTTATTTCTAAATTAGAGTGTTCAGATGTGTGCCGCATGTCTTTCAGAGTGTCTGATCTGGAAAGAAGAGAGAAAAGTGCATCAGAGCTCATTGAAAAGTTGCTCAAGAGTCTTGAGGTCACTGTCTAATTGTAAAGGGTATGACAGGATGATGAGGGGGCGACAGACTATCAGAAAGGGATCAAACAAACATCTAACCCCATATACCATTAGTGGCATACTTAATCTCTTAATGAGATGGAAGGTATCTATTTGTCTTGCAGGTTCTCCACCCACTTGCCCCCTCCTGTGATTAGTTTGAGACAGCTGTCTAATTATCTCTGCTATCTCTATTTGAACCAAGAGCATTTAAAATCAATCCAGTTCTTGGCCTGTGCCAGCTTCTCATTCCCAATCCCTCCCATCATCAGGCATCAGTTAGACCTCCATCCGATTTGGCAAAAACGAAAACAACAAATGAGTACAAATAAAATGGCAAAAAATGGCAATAATTTGTAAAATATTTTACCTGCTGGGTTAACATATTGAAAAACAGTAAGGCGGATTTTACTTACTAGATGCAAACAGGTCCCCAGGTGAAAGCATACCTAACATTTTCTTCTTTTTTTGCTAGAACAACCAAATCTCTGATATTTGCATGGATATTTAAATCTGTGAATAAGCTGACCTACGGTCCTGAGGATATGCATGCCTTCAGTGATGTTTTAGCTTTAGTCGGCACTGAAGAGTTTTGATGTGTTATCTCCTTTACCAGTAAACACAGGAATAGTTTTGAACAGTCTTTTGTTTGATTCTTTTTATAGAAATTCACTTGATGAGCCCTGTATTCTCTGTTGACGTGTTCATACAAAAAAACATTTTAGCAGGGACTTCTGAAAGGTTTCTATTTAGCCAGTTTAATACAGAGTAAGCCCCTTTTCAGCTTTCGTCATAATGAAGAAAACATCTCGGCCAATGGAAGAAAGTCCTTCACATGTCTTCCACAAATTGTGGGGTTAAACGTATCCATTGTGCAAGCAAATGACTTGATTTCTCTTTACAGTCTTATAGGTTTTCTAATGGTTGTTTTTGTGTCGTCTACTGTGTCTAATCTAGTATTTCCATGGTCCATCAGTAACGTCTTCTGTATCTGCTGCCCATTGCTATTTTATCATCTTGAGTCCCATAATGATGCCCTTGTTCTTTCCCTTTTTGTTCTTCCTAGCATACGTCTTTTGCACGTCTTCTTTGGATCATGTGTAGTTTTCGGATATCAGTTTGATAATAAATGCACCAAAATGGCTTAAGACTTCCTTTTTAGAATCTTAAAGACAATTTCTCTTTTGAAACCATACTTTATTTTCAAAAAGTATTCTAGCCCAGATTTGTTTGTGCTTTATATTTTTCTCTATTTGGTTGATCACATTTATTTAAATTTTCCCAAAAGGTGCAGATTTCCTAAAATGTTGTATTTTCCTTTAAGTTCAGCTTAAAAGGCCTACATTATTGCCTGTTTCCTGTAGTTGTAGGAACTTGTAATTACAGTTCTTCTGGTTTTGCAGGTATAATTATGTTGCTTTTTGTTCCTGGTTTGTAACTTGACTGCATTGTACTCATGGACCCTATGTCTTTGTAATTCTGTAAAGCACTCTGAAGTGCTTTGGCATTAAGCATGTTGTACAACACAAAGCATTTGTTTCCATGCTGTGTCTCATTAAAAATTATAAATTAAACTTGTACCTTATTTTCATTTTCTTATTCATTTATATTTAAATGTTATTTAGCAAGCATTAGGTACTCTGGTCTGTAAATGTTTAATTTGGTACTGTAAGTTCTTGGAACAACAGAATATACCACTGTACATAACACTAAAACATAATACTGCACTGCATTTAAACACCTGAACTACCTAACATGGGCTTTCCAAGGTAAACACTAAACCAGTGTTTCAATCATCAATAGAAGTGTGAGTTGTCATGCATTTGGAGAAAATTAAGCTGTAGTTATCATTGTTTTCAAATTGTTTTTCCCTATTTTTCTAAAGCAACACTAAGAAGACCAGTTTAAAAAAAAACAGTCGGAGACAGCGTATGTGGAAGGTGCTCAAGTGGAAATATTTTGAAAAAAGTGGTTCATAAAGTAAATTAAGCCACCTCAGAAATTTTGTTTCAAAGATCATAAAAATAGAATTGCTTTAACTATCTAGATCTTCACTTGAACAGATAACACCTATGCCTAATGGCTTTAATTCATCTGTTAAAATGAATCCATTTACCATGTAGAAGAAAAACAAATGAGAGAAATACACTTTGTTTAAGCAAACTCTTGCATTATTGATACACCACGCTTGGTGAGCAGAGTGAGAAAGTTGAATTGGCTTTTTTTTTTGTCAGAGCTTCAGTAAGTTTCTAAGTTTTTAAAGCAGCTATTAAAATTAAACAGGGCCTGGTGAATGCTGATTGTTGACAGCATTTTCTTGTCTTTCAGCCACCAATTTGTTTCCTGTCTCCTTCGATAGTGATTGAGAGTCCTCTCTAGTATATTCACCATTTCTCTTGGGAGAGAAAAAATAACAAGTGGAGAAAAAATACATATATCTTTGTTTCTTGCTTGTGTAGCCTGAGACAAGTTTAATTAACTGTTCTGTGTGCCTTGCCTGTTAAGGTACTAATGTTAAAGGCTTTTTCAATAAAGATGTGACAAAGCAAATCTTTAGTATTGTGATGACATAAAATGTTTGGATGGCTTTATAATGTGTCTCATTATGGACAAGGTATTTCTATTTGTATCTATAAGATACTAATTAATGCTGTTTTCATTAGAAATTTGTTTTAACACACTGCTTGTTTCCCTCTTTTTTTTTTTTTGATACAGCTGCCTCATCGACGAGTGACCTTCTCTACAGCCAATCAAGCTCAGGATCTCCAGGATCCCTCCCAGCACAATTATTATGACAGCGGGTTGGAGGAATCAGAGACTCCAAGCAGCAAGTCCTCCTCAGGGCCTCGGATTGGACCACTGGCTCTCCCAGAGGACCACTATGAGAGAACCACCCCTGATGGCAGTATTGGCGAAATGGAGCACCCTGAAAACGGTAAGGTCAACATTTTCAACTCAAGTGTGCCACCTTATATCATAGTTAGAGTCGGACACGTACGTTGCTTAGTGCAGTATGTAGTGTAGCAGCAATAGTCATCTAGTATTGAGTATTAATTTATTTGAGCAAGATTAAAGATGTGCTTATTAAAAATATTTTCACTGAGAACAAACAAGAAGAAGAGGAACCTTTTATAGAGGCGCTTCTTATTCAAATTCATCTCTTCGGCACTCAGGTTCTGAAGAATTATAAGTGATAAACCTCTGATAGCAAGATAAAAAGAGTAGTAATGACATTAAAACAATGAGCCAAAGCAGATTTTGCTCGGTTACTTTGACAATCATTTAATTAGACTAACTAATCATCCTTAAGTGTAAAAAAAAAAAATGGAGTGGCTAAAGCTTTTTAGAGTTCCTATTCCTATTTAAATACACTTATTCTGCTCTCACATTTTGATGAACAATGAGTGGTATACCCCTGAAAGCTAGACAAAAATGTAACACTGGTATAAAGAAAAAAAAAAAAAAAAGAAATTTTTCTTTTGTGATTTTGCTTAAAGATCCTCTAATTAGACTCATAATTCATCCTTAATTAAATATCTTGTGATCTGCCTCACAAGCAGAACTAGGTATGAGGGGTTATTTTACAGAAGAAGCTGTCTTTCAAGCTTGGTTGAAACTCATTGTGTTCACAGTGATCCGTGTGGGTGCTGTGCGATTGTTTATTGCTTTCAGTATTGCTCAACAGTGCTAAAAAGCAACCAATCACATTTTTAAGTCTTAATGATATTGCCACAGAAGTACACAAATTAAAACTTGGAATTAATGAAGCATGTAGACAAATTAATCCCTGTGTATTGACGTCTGTGCAAACAGCAATGCATTGCTTTAGTTAGGTAGCTGAACACAAGGAATGGTTTGGAAGCAGTTCAAGGTGTGGAAAGTTCCAAAATACTGCCAGTAGGATTGCTTGGTCATAGTTATTTTTGCTATGTTTTGAAAGATCTTACTTGTTCCTAGAATATGTAATTTTTTAGGATTATTTTTAAAAAAGTGAAAATGGCAAACAATATCCTCAAAGAAATGTATAGGGATATTAACCTTTTGTTTTAAACTGTGATAATCTTTCAGAAATAAAAATACATTATACTTTTTGTCCTGATTTTCTTCCATTCTTTTGGTTTAGCATTTGTGTACTGATGTGGAGAAAAATAAATATGTAATGTGTAAAAAGGAGAAAGAACTATAGAGCAGCAAGGATCTAATCAGATCTGAAAATCCAACTAAATACTAAGATTGTCCCTTCCAATCAGGATGAGAAGCGAAGAAAAACCCTGAAACTGCTCCATATCAGTTGTTTTGTTTTGTATCGATCTCACGTATGGCATCTGTAAAGACAATTACTGTACTCGCACTGTGTAGCCTGAGGCCAATTCCTCCATCTGGAGGAAAAAAATACTTGTGTTCTTCCTTTGATTCCTACGGATCATACACGGTCCCTTGTGTGTAGGAAGGAGGTCGCAATTAGAGGGAGTTCTTCCAAACAGCGGCTGAACTCATTTGCCTGCAGGTATTTCCTAAGGAAGTGGTGGTGTGGGTGTGAGGTATACAGAGCCCACATGCTAAATTGATGTTGATGGAGTTGGGCCTTTTTCTGCGGAAGAATAAAACATTGTTTTTGTAAATTAGCTTTCCTTTCTTTCAGTAATCCTAGGAGTTTATTGCACATTCAGACATTTACTAATCTTTTTCTTATCTGGTCTCACTATGGAATTTCTGTGTAGACAGCTCACTTGCTCACCAGGGTTGAGACATTTTCATGTGGGTAATTTGTTGCAATGTTAGTAATATTTACTGACAGCAGCATTACCACCTTCTAGCCTGATCTTCTAGGATCTCTAGGTTAAACAAGGATGGGCCTGGCAGTACTGGGTTGTGAAATCTCCGGGGAGAAGTTGCTGTTGTAAGTGGTGTGAGTGAGCCAGTAGGTGGCACTGTTTCCACTGGACCAAAATTTGCAAAACCAATACGCGAGTATGGTGAACATGGTGACTGCTGAAGGAGGTACTATGCTTTCCATTAAAGTGAAGTCCTGACTACATGGTTATTAAAGGACTCATGGTACAGTTTTTAAGAGCAGAGGTGCTCAATACTATTTTGGGGTTGAATTCCACTCTGGTTTTATACCATTTGATCAATCTAAACTTCCCCCTCTATTAAGTTTCTCACGTCTCTACCTGACCTGTCATGTGGTGATTACTGTAGTAGTTGTTGTTGATTGTATTTACATATCAGTTTTTATCCTAAATGATTCTGAAGAGCTTCACGTATAGGAGGAGGCACACCACTGAATTGCACCAACCACCTGGGTCGCGCAGTTATATGCCAGCTGCCCCAGTACACAGCAGCATTAACACCTTAAAACCTGATCCCATTAGATCTCAGAAGTTGATCAACACCCCTACTCTTACTCTGGTTTCTCTTACTAAGCATCCCTGCACGCTCATAAATCTGAGAGCATATTGTTTCCAGCAAGGAACCTCTGAAAGATGCTTCTTTTGAAGGATGGGTGGTTACTGCAGTCTTACGTAACTACTAGTCTTAAATCACAGACCATTACAGTGCGATTGAAAAGCACAGGAGCTTTATATTATGCCAGTGTTGGAATAGAGAGCCTCATAATGAGAGTGGTGCATACAGCAGTTATAAATCAGCTGGGTGTCAGAAAACACAGTCTCACAGTGCTGGCTAAGGATGCTAATCATTAAAACAGGGAAAAAACAGAGACCAAGGCACCTAATTGAATTCAGTCATGAAGTCAATCAGGAGGTAGTTATGAGATTATTCCAGTTACATTAAGATTAAGAGCTCATTACAGACAGAACAATTCAGAATTGTGGAACAAAACTTGAGCCTTTTTCTGTTTTTTCTTTTTTTTTCTCCCTTCCCTTTAAATTGAATAAAGCTTCCCAGATAATGGAGTATAATTCCATTAGTCCTGCATATGATCCTCCTTGTGGCAGATCTCAGTTCTTCCTCCAGACACCCTTTTCCCTTCCCTAATTGCCCAATTTCCTGCACATAATAGAAATGGATCAGTTTAGTTTTCCAATGCAGGCCCTGTTATTTAGGCAGCTACTTAAATCAAGAAAGGTCACATGTTACTGTCGAGCAATTGGTAACTTCAGTATATGAATGATGAGTGTTCTGTTTTTCATCCAAATAGGCCGATGCAACCCGCAAGACATAATGCATCTTGATATAATGTAATTATAGCACATTGTGTGCAGAAGCATGTGAAAAGCATTACAAAAAATAAAAGGCAGGGAGCAACTCATCCTAGAATGTACATGCTTTTCCATTTAAAGTAGTGTGACACTGAAATATGTTTATTTGCATCTCACCATTCATTCATTCAGCATTTGGCACTTAAAGTTGGGTGTATCTGGGCTCACTTAGTTAAGTGCAGATTAAGGGGAGAAGAGCAAAAAAGCTTTAAACTCCGAATAACGCTCACTTTAAATTGTGGTAAAGAAACATTTTTAAGAAAATGGGGTTTGTGAACAGTAAATGGGATGTGATATAGTTATTAGCATTCCCAATCCTCTTGGTGCCATCCTGTTTTGGGGTCCGCTTTGCAAAATACTAGGAATTCAGTTCTCACCTTTCGTCATTGACTGCGAAGGATAACGTTTTCAGATGGCTGGGCACATTTTGAAAGTCTAGCTGTTTGGCCAGAGAGAGGTGTAAATGAAAATATATAGCAATAAAATCTAAATTTAATTATAATCAAAAGAAATATAAAGTCATTCTTGTATTTATCTTTTTTAGCATTGTCCCTGAATGAGGTGCAAGCCTGACCCCGTACAGTATGTACTGTATGTTAATCATTACGGTTTGTTGTGGCAAATGAAATACATGTCCTTGTGTGAGGAAGCTTGTTGTGTTTAAGTATTTTCATGAGTTTAGCATTGCATGTTAATCTGCAGTTCCTTTCAGTCAGTCTGCTGATTTTATCAAGGTGTCTTAGGATATACGCAATTTACTCCATTTTACTGTAATATCTTGAATGCTTAATTCTATGACACCTGCCTATGTTCATTTATGCTCCTTGGCAAAAACAACCAAGACATTTATATGGGAGATAGAACAATATGTATTAAACGCTTGGTAGTTGAAAAAAAGATAATGATAAGTTACTCCAATGCTGAAAAAAAGAAAGCTGTAGCTCTGCTTGTTATTACTTTCCAAATATTTTAAATATTGAGATGTGGTATCTTCCTGCAGATTGCATTGGTTAATTGCTCTGAGTTGTAAGAAAATGGCATCATAAATAACCTTGCGTTCTGTGTAGAGTACATTTATAGATAATTATGAGGCACTGAAACAATCTCTGTTGTCAAGATTAAGCCTTCTAAATTTATTGTGCTGAACATTCACATAGGACTCCACACCTACGAAGCCTGCTTAATAACAATGGTTGTTTTCTTGGCAGTTTTAGTGTAAACTAAAAATCTAAAATTGAATTATACATCACAGATCCCTTTTTTGTGGAAGAGTACTTTGAAAAAGAAGCTTTTTAGCCAACAATCAGGATTTTCAAATCTGTTTTTGTAAATAATCTCTTTATATAACATAGTACATATTTATGGTTTGTGCAAATCACTAACTGGGGGCTTTGCAGTGTTTTGCATATGTAGTTATTGTGAAGCATATTTGAACCTTCTTGCTTGTTGTAGATTGTCTTCTGATCATAAGTGAAAAACTAAACTAGTACCACCTCCTACAAGTTTTCCCTGAAGTAAGATCTGTATTTCTGCAGAGCTGGAATGGGTTCTCATAATGATTTTGGCAAATGGAAAAACAAAACAAATGAACACAGAACATCTGTGCTATTGTCGCAGTGCATTTCTCATTTTGTTAAGAAAAACGGCTGATTAAATATCAAGTATGGTGCCATTTTACGGGACTATAGCTTCACAAAATGTGTAATTGGCA